CTGCTGTTAATTCAGCAGGTCTTTGTGTTGCGCCGGAAAAGGTTCAGAAAATACCACCATGGAAATATCTAGGCTGGCGCATACGGGCTCAAACTATAGTCCCCCAGCCTTTACTAATTCAAGCAGATGTGAGGACTTTGCATGATGTGCAGAAGTTGTTGGGAACAATTAATTGGGTCCGACCTTTGCTAGGAATTTCCAATGCAGATTTAAGTCCTTTATTCGACCTGCTTAAGGGGAGCACAGACTTATGTTCCCCTCGTGCTCTCAACCCTGCAGCTGTTGATTCCTTACAAAAAGTTGCTACAGCTATTACCTTAAGACAGGCACATCGATATGCCCCTGAGTTACCTTTCCTTTTAATCATTTTGAATCCTGCTCGACAGCCTCATGCCTTGATATTTCAATGGGACTTGCAGGAGTCTGACCCGTTGCTTATCATTGAATGGGTATTTTTACCGAATCAACCCACGAAAACCATCTCAACACAGCATGAAATGTTTGCATCCTTGATTGTCCGTGCCAGGCGGCGCTTGTTAATGTTGTCTGGAATGGACTTCACTTGTATTTATTTGCCTATGGTCAGTGATTATTTGCAGTGGCTTCACCAACAATCGGAAGCCTTCAGTATAGCGATAGCTGGTTATACAGGCCAGCTCACTTCTCACCCACCTTCTCATCAATTGTTTAATGCTAATTTCCAGCTTGTACCTAGACCAAAGAGGAGTGACCAGCCTTTGCAAGCTCTTACTGTTTTTACAGATGGATCTGGGAAGTCCCACAAATCTGTTATCCTCTGGTGGGACGACCAGCGCAAACAATGGGAATCGGATATAAAGACAGTGCCGGGTTCCCCCCAAATCGTGGAACTGACTGCCGTCGTCCGAGCCTTTAGAAAATGGTCTACACCGCTTAATATCATCACTGATTCAGCTTATGTTGCAGGGATTGTTGAACGAGCTGAGGCGTCTGTGTTACGAAATGTCTCACATTTTGCATTATTTGCTTTGTTACAGGAGCTTATTTTTCTTTTAGATTCTCGCATTCATTCCTATTTCATTATGCATGTCAGATCTCACACTTCCTTGCCTGGCTTTATAGCGGAAGGGAACCGGCAAGCTGACCTGCTTACATTACCGGTACAGGTACTGCCAGACCGCATAGCACAAGCAAAACTTAGCCACGCTTTCTTTCACCAAAATGCTGGTGGGCTTAAGCGACAATTTGGCCTTACTACTCAGCAGGCAACCAGTATAGTTGCTGTGTGTCCCGATTGTCAAAGGCACTCATTTCCTACAATAGCAGGAGGAGTTAATCCTAGAGGATTGCAAAGTTTGCAACTTTGGCAAACCGACGTCACTCATTTTTCGGAGTTTGGTCACTTAAAATATATTCACTCCTCTATTGATACCTTTTCTGGGGCATTATTTGCCTCTTGTCATACTGGCGAAAAGGCGCGCGATGTTCAACGACATCTGCTGCGTGCTTTTGCCACTTTAGGCATACCTTCTCAAATTAAAACTGACAATGGCCCTGCATATATTTCAACTGCAATTAAAAAGTTTTTGAGTTCTTGGGGGATCAACCACATTACGGGTATCCCTCATTCCCCCACGGGCCAATCCTTAATTGAACGCTCTCATCAGTCTCTGAAACGCTTATTGCAACAACAAAAAGGGGGAATAGGGACCGTTACCCCCGAGGAACGCCTTCAGAAAGCTTTATATGTTTTTAATTTTCTGAATTGTTCTTTGATAGACAGTAAGCCTATCAGGATGGTTGAGAAGCCTTGTAAAAATGATTGTGTATGCTTTAGTTGTTTTTATTCTTTTGTTACTTTGTTTACCCTGTTTTTGCAGTGTGTGCAGAACCTGATAGCCAGTTCAGTGAAAAGGGTCCTTATTGTGCAACAAGAAGGGGGAGATGTCGGGGGCAGCCTGGTCTCTCCTTCTAGCAGCAAGGACGTGCTCAACTTGGCGTCTCGTAATTTGCATACTCTGTAAGCAAACTGTTACACCCCTGGGGCTAAGGACGATTTCTTCCAGGAGGGCTGGTTTCGTAACTAGAGATAAGCACGTGCTATAGAAACAGGAGTAGAAGTCGTTAAGGAGAAGAATGCTGTGAGCTAGCAGAAAATTAACTGCAGAAAAAGTCAAGCTGACCTTAGACGTTAGCCAATCATGAGCTCAATTTTTGTAATATGTATTAGGTGATTAACCATTGTGCCAATCAGCTTAAAACACGTGTCTCTCTTTGTCTGTTTGGAATATAAAATCGGTTGTTGTGTTCAATAAAGTGGATCCTGACTTGCATCGAGCTGGGTCTCCGTCTCTCAATCGCGGCAGATGGTGGGTGTTGGCAGCACAGGAGAGATGGTGGGATAATACCTTTCAAGTGGTTTAGATCTCTAAGAAAAGCTTATGGATGCAATTTCCAATAATGACATTATTTAATAGAGACCTTAGTGATCATTTGAGGAAATAATAATTAGTATGAGGTTTATGTCATGTATGTAGAGATATGCTCTTTTTTTTTCCTGTTTGCAACTCAGCTCCCATTTTCTAGTCTCCTGACTATCCTGTACATATTTGCTTTTAATTTTTTACTGATCTTAAGTGTAACTAAGCCTTTCCCTTATTTCTGAACTAGTAGAGAAAAAAAGAGGGAGAAAATAACTTAACCAGAGCTATTCTTGAACAGAAGTGTTTAAACAGCATCCAGGGTGAAAGCATTCATGTAACATGAAGTGACAGGGCCAAGAGATGACTTGGGATTTGTCTGCACAGGGAGCAGATGATAGCTCTCTCTGCCTGAGTTCAGACCACTTGTGAGGGCACAGAGACAGGTAACCTAGATTTGTGGTGGTGTCAATATAGTAGCAAGGCTTTGGGCTCAGAGCAGGGTCTTAACCAGACATCTCAGGGTGCAGGCAGGCATCAGCTGTCTCTTCCAAGTCCCTTGCAGAGCATTGTTTCTAGTTTTCCCTCTGCATGACAGATGCCCAGTTCCCTTACTACAAACCAGAACTGAGATCTCAGACAAACTCTGTCATCTTTGGGATTGCCTCTTCTGCTTTTTTCCCCTCCCCCACATACCTTCCCTTGTGGTGAAGAAGTTGATGCTGGGGGAGGGTAGTGTGAGGACATATTACATAACCTTGTTCTGCATTTGTGTTGCTAGTGGTTACCTTCTGAGGTCAGATGTTATCATACCCATCGTAACTCCACTGACACCTGTACAGTTAAAGTGGAATAAGGCTTTATAGTATTATCAGATTAGTTACAGAGTGCATTTGGAATGCACATAGATTAGTCATTTAAAAGATAGCTTCAGCTGTCTGGATGGGTCAGGAAAACCTGATTCTCCAGGGTCCTCCATGCAGAAAGAATAGCAGCTGCAGCTCTTAGGTGTCCCCAGGAACAGGCAATGGGAGTCTCCCATGTCACAGTGATTTTTCCTGAAAGAACCAGTAAACACCAGTGTTTCATCTCAAACTGAGTGGGTGAAATTCAGGTCAGCCCTAGCACTGCTTTAAGTGGTCCTTCAGAAGTGACTCTAGATAAGATAAGGAAAATAGTTGGTTCTGAGGACGTTGGAAATACCTGTGGGCATCTAGGGGAGAGGCAGATGGGAAGGATGTCAGATGTACAGGTGAGATGGGCAGATACTAACCCTTCAGATCCTTGAGCATGGAGACAGAAACACCTTCAGCAGCAACACTGGTTCAGCTGAAAGAAACCATTTTACTGGAATGCTTCGTCTTCAACTTCTTTGCCTACCCCTCTGGTAAATATGTCTTCTGTTATTTGTAGTGTTCAAGTACAAGGAAGATCCAACCCCATTCAGAAAGCCAAGCCACGGATTAGTTTGCAGAGACCAGTCAGTGTGTTAACTGCCTGCAGTTGAATTCCTCCCTGAGTCCTGCCTGTGGGCCACCTCACACACTTCAGTTGGTTGGCATGGCAAGTGGTCAAGGTTTGGTGCAGCCAAGCTCACCACGAGTGTTTGTAACAGCTTGTTCTCTCAGAGGATTTCTTGCTCTGATGTTCTGCAGGAAGCCATGTACTAGTGATCAGCCTCCTGTTCATTGTTACATGGCACTGCATCTGGCATTATCTGCTACTGGTCAACAGTGTAAGACACTGATGTTGAACACATTCACATAGTTTAAATTGCTCTGGTTTTTGTTCCTTTTCTTTCAGGGAAGCCAGTTACTCAGAAACAAGACATTTTCTTTTTACAAACAAGACATTTCCTCTTGGGTTCCTCTTTAAGCCCTGGACAAGCTTTGGGAGAAATCCAACTAGGACAGGACACCAGATGTTTCCACACTCAAAGTTTGAAACCTGTTTATTCAACATTATAAAAGCTGGAGCCTCTTGCAGTGATTTTGGAGACCTCACCTACAAGTGAATGCACTGCGTAGGACCTCCCAATTGCTGGGAAAGGTTCTCCAAATCCTCACTGCAACCAGGGCTCCCCAGTGACTGTGAATCTAGATGACAGTAAAGTATTAGGGCAATTGGTGATGTATCTTTCTTAATCACTATTGCTGACTTTATGTAGTAATGATTAGGTGCATTACCTTGTCTTGCTTTATTTTCTTGTCATATTATTTTAAGACTAAGGAGTATTATCTTGTTTTTATTCTCTTTGCTGCTTATAACTAGGGTGTAATAAGCTTACCATTCTGACTAAATGTATTACCTTATGTTTTGTATTATTTTGGCAATATACAGTAAACTAAGTCTATTCTTTCTGTTGGTATCTGAGTCCTTTCTGTCAATCTAGTCAATTGGCAAAATACCCACATGCTGGGTTTCTGTGGTGCAAGTTTTTTTTGGTAGCAGGGGAGGGGGTTACAGCAATGCCTTCTGTGAGAAACTTCTCGAAAGCTCCCCTGGCTCCACTCAAACCCACCTCTGGCCAGGGATGAGCCAATCAGCTGCGCCTCTACGATAACGTACTTAAGAAGGGGAACTAGAGAGGGGGTTGGGACTTGTGAGGAGGAGTTGGAAGAAGGATGGACACCCAGGTCAGTGGAAGGAAGGAGAAGAACATGGGGGAGGTGTGCTGGAGCAGAGACCCATATATCCAGTGGTGAGAGAGCAGGACTGTCCACCCTGACACACATGGAGGTCTGCGGTAGTGTAGAGGCCGACCTGAAGCCTGTGGAGGAGCGCACACCAGGACAGGTATATGCACTTAAAGGAGTCTGGGACCCTAAGGGGAGAAGTGATCCCCGCTGTTGTGGTTCAGCCCTGCAACATGCAGGGGTGACCCACACCAGATCAGCATGGGAACAGCTGCAGCCCGTGGGGAGGACTCACTCCAGAGGAGGCTTGTGGAGAATTGTCTGCAGTGAGAGGGGAGTCACGTGGAGCAGGGGAGGAGTGTGTGGAGTTCACCCTATCTCCCAAGAAGGAAGGAGTGGCAAGCTGACTGTAACCCCTATTGCTTGCCCCTGCGCTGCTGGGTGAGTAGGTAGAGAGATCAGGAGCAGAACTGAGCTGGGGAAGAAGTGAGGGGGTGGAGAGAGGTCTTTTTTTTGATGTGACGATCTTCCCACCTTGTCTTTTAAGTGTTGTCTTGTTAGTATTTGAATTAAAGTGATGTTTTCTTTTCTTCTCCTAAGAAGTCTGTCTTCTACCTGTAACCCTGATGGGTAAGTGACTCCTCCCAGTCTTTAGATGTATTCCTTGAGACATTCCTGTCCCATATTCTCCACCCTCCATCTCTGCAAGTGAGTGAGCGGCTGCCTGGTGCTCAGTTGCCCTCTGGACCTCAACTACAACACTCCATGACATTATTCTAGTGTTGCTTCTGTTCTTACTCTATTTAAAAGTCATTAAATTACTCTAATTACCTGCACTGATTATTTTCTCTAGGGTTTCATTTGCTAGACTTCCTAGCTCTGGATGTATGGAGGGAACTGTCAGGTTTCTATCCGGCAAGATGTTATGAGTTGAAGAACTCTGATTCTCCACATCTGGGTTTTTCAGGTTCAGTTTGACTCTGGCAGAATATTTGAGAAGGAGGAGAAAAGAGTCACCTCCCAAGGCTTTAAGCCTTGCTCTGTAGGTCTGCTGACTAGTCTATGAAGCTGCTAAACCTTAGGGATACAGGGCCCATCCCATGACTGTATCCTTTGCACAGTACCCATATTTGTGTGTAATGAATGTGAAGCTGAGGAAGACTTTTGAAGTCCAGCTAGTCTATCTGCTGTAGTTAGCTGCAAGACTAAGGGAACTGTTGGAAGATCTTTCAGTGTTGTTCCCAGAGTGCTTGTGAGGTGACCAGCATGGCTGCTGTCCTAGATGTACTTAATGAGGTTGTGCTGAGACTTGCTTCTTACAGTGAAATTTCAGGGTCTCTGGCATGGGTGAAATTCTGGAACTGTGTGGATCTTGCTGTCACTGAAGCTGAAGTTTTCAATGGATTCAGGATGTTAAATTACATTTAAACAGTGTAATTTGCACAAATTTTCCACCAAATTGCACACTAAGTTGCCAAATTATCTAACAGTTTAATGAACTAACTTGTGATGTTTATATGGTTCAAAGGAGCAGAGAACAAAAATTTATTGTAAATATAAAGAAATCTTAAAGTCAATCAAATAGTGATTATTAGCCCATTAAATGATGCTAACACTTATATTTCAAATTATATACAGTTACTTTTTTCCAATTTATATCTGATTTCACTATTTATGGTGACTTTTATATATTCAATTCCTGTTCCTTGATTTCTTTGCTACACCCTGAAGTTGACTTTACTCAGATCCTAAGGTTGCATTCATTTACTGACCAGTACTTGACCTTGATGAGTTTTAGTAGCCCTGATATAGCTCTGGTTATCCTCTTATGATGGTATTTTCAAGTCCTCTGCTCTGTTCCCATGTCTGTGCACCTCAGTGCTGCATTTTTATTCTAGGGTGATAGGTAGTTACACAGAATGACTACTTGTTATCTATCTTTCAAAATCGGAGATAACATTTGGGCCCTGTGCCTGTGGAGGCTGTACAGTTCAGGCACCCAGCTACCATTTCTATTTGACAATTTTCTCATTCATAGTTCCAAAAGACCTCATTAAAAGAAACAATATAGCTATTCATTTCATGACACAAATCTGTTTCCTTTATTTGCTTATAGCAACACTGTGTGAAACATCCTGAATACCTCTGGTTTTGGTGTCTTGAAAATAACTTTTCATGCTATTTTAAATACATTCAGTTCTCTTTTATTCATTGACACATTTGCTTTTTTAAAACTAGTATTTCTCTCCAAATTACTTAAAAAATTGCTGAAACTCTAAGTCACTTAATTTAAAATGAACTGTTCTTCACCCATTTTCCAACAGTTTCACCTTTTGCCTTTCTTTCTCCAATAACCCTTCTGAAACAGACTTGTCTTTTCCTCTTGAAAGTAATAGTGCTACTATATTACAAAGATTCACACTTAAGCGATTGTACTTACTAGAGGTCCATATTTGCATGAAAGAGGCTTTTTTGTCTCTTCCATTTAAAAAGTTACTTTTCTACTACAAGAAAATGATTTGTCATAGGAAGAAAGATTTCAGATTTTATGACTTGGCATTGTTATTTTGCTTTTTAATTCGGCTCTGTTCAGCTGAACTAGAAAATAGACAGTAGCAATACAAGACAGTTTTCTTGAAGATGGAAGAGGAAGGGGACAGTAGATGTTCAATACCCAGAAAGACAGAGAGAAGAGTTTAAGTTAGGACACAACAGCCATTTCCAGGGAAAGAAAACAAAGCAAGACCTGCACAGAAAACTGAAGAGCACCAGCTGATTACAGAATATGAATTGCTAAAGGTCTGCACAACTGGGCAAGCCAATGTTCATGTTCAGAGTAGCAGCAACCAGAAACAGCTGCAGCTGATTGCAGTACTATTTTGGGACCTTCCTTCCTTAGACAGAGTGCTGCTTGCCAAACCATTTCAATTCCAGTTTCTTCCTTAGACATAGGACATTTGTCTGGATTGGTGAAAAAATACAGTTTTCCAGCAAACGCATTTTAACTCTTTATGGTCTGAAAAGATGCTATCTCTGTTCTTAAAGCTACCCTATGTTAGAAAACCTCTGGTGAAAGCTTGAGTGGTATTTTCCTAGCCTGGACGTTCCCTTGGGCACAGTCAGCTAGTTTCTCACATAATGTCTTTTTCTCCCTGGCAGATCTGGATACAGTAGCACCTGAATTCAGGCTGACCAGAGAAGCTGCTTGGCAAGTTATGTTGTCCACAAGTTTTGGGAATTCTCCCATCCATGGAAATGGCCGGTGGAATTTGCCTATTTCAGGTTATATAAACTTTATGATGGTTTGCGTTTTTTTCACATTCTCTGCAGTTTGAATGAAAATGTGCTTCTACTGTCATTGGCTGCAAAGGAAGCTGCTATGACCAATGACTCTGAGGTCTGCATGCACATTAGCATTGCAATAAATTGTATCTGCACATAAGATGAAACACATTAAAAGGTGAGCTATTCAAATAAATATAGAATTAGGCTGGATACTCCCCTCAGTGGCACTTTATAAACAGTTTATATTTTTTGAAGTTTAAAAAGACCACTTCAGGAGCAGTTAAATGTCCTTGATTTTTCTGCTTTTAAGCAAAAGTGCATATGGTTGCACATCAACTATTCACAAATCTCTGATTAATGTGACATCTAAGTTGGTAAGCATCAAAGGGTAGTACTGTGTTTTAAATCACTCTTCAGACAGAAGAGTTCAGCAGTGCCTTGGAGGCTGTGCTGTCCCGTTGGAAAATCAGAATTTCTCTTCTTTCATTTTTCAGTGATTCAGAAATGTCAGTTGCTTGTATGATATGCAGCAATGTGAAATAGAGCAAATGAAAATTCAGTAGAAGATGTTGCACAAGTCCTGGGTTGGAGCTGCAGCAGGAGCTGGGTCAGTGTACATGTTGCTTTCTGCAGTGCAGATGCTCTGGCTGCTCTGAGTGGGTTCTCCACTGATCAGCTGCAGTTCACTGTGAAGTGAAGAGCAGCTTTGCTATGGTTGGAGTGGCTGCATGTTCCAGGGAACACTAGTGGAGTAGCTCAGTGTCTCAGAGATCATCAGTTACAGCTTTGCCAGCAAAATTGGAAGCATGTCTCTGGAAGGGTTTACAACAGCTGATGGAAATGTTGTAGCTTAGCTATGACGAGATCTCTTCTTTGCAGTGATCCAGCCCTCAGCTTGACTGTCATCTCAGAAATGGAGGGAAGATGCTAGATTTGCATTTGAACACAATCATGATTGTTATTTGTGTTTATTGAGTGGTGCCTGCCATCTTAGGGCAGGGAAGGGGGCACAATGCCAGAAGAACCTGTGTGACAACCTTGAATATCTGTGAGCCTGTGCCCTGTTTGCCCTGAGGAGAAGAGGGGGTCTACAGAGGCACACCTGGAGCTGGAAAGCTGCTCAGTGGGTGTGCTCCCTCACTCATGCACTGCCTGCTCTTCTGCATTGGGGTGGAGGCTGGTCTGCCATCAAGGACAGAACTGGTGGGGTTGTTGGCAGAAGAAAGTTGTGCAACACACACAGAGTAGGCCAGTACAGTGGGGCAGCTTTTAGAGACAACAAACTACTAAAAAATACTGAAAAATGAATTTGCAACATCATCATAAGCTTTGCAACACACTGGCTTTATGAGGAGTTCCTAATTGTTCCTTATGACCCTGACAGAAGACATCTGTGTTGAAGGTTGGAGGAAAGCAGTTTGGGAAAGGAAGTCAGCCCCAAGCTGGATGTATACCTTGGCAACTCTCATACACAACTGAACTATGCAAAGAAGATGGAATGGGGTCAAGCATCTGGCCTGACTCTTGTAGTTTTTAAGAATAATCTCTGCAGAAACAATTTGTTTTCATTCTGATGAACTTATTGGTAAGGCTGAGAAACTGTTGTACTATGAAATAACTCAATAACATTTACATTTTCCGTAAAAGTGAAATCTTTCTCTGTATAACAATTTCAAGGTTGACAGAAGGACTGATTGCTGCTGAGAAATGGATAATTCATCATTTTAACCTGTAATAAAGTATTAAGCAGGTGCTTTTGCAGTAACCTTTACTCTGCTACCATATAGTCTGCAAATATATTCTGTCCATTTGGTGTAGGTACCTCTTGATTTAGTTCTGTCCCTCCTTCATCTTTTGTCTCTACCCTGCTTACTGTAATTTTTTGGCTCTAGATTGTGTCTTCTGAGAGGTGGCACTGTGCCCAGCAGGGTAGCACTCTGCTGTCTGAGGAAGCGCAAGGGAGTGCTTGTGGGTTTTTAGTCTTTTTCAGAGCTGAGATGAACTCTGTAGAGATGGAGTGTACTATTGTGAGGGTTAAGTGGTGATTATTGGTGCTGGCTGGGCTGTATGTTCATAGTAAACTTCCTGCCCTGCATGAATGAACAGGCAATGGAGCAAAGGCTACATATCTCCCCTGTTGTCCATGGTATCAACACCCTTTCTCTCCCCTCTCCCTTTCTGTGGTCCATAGTGGAAGATTACTAGACAGCAATATCTTTCTTGACCTCATCACTGTGGTGATGCCCAAGAACCACCCAGTTGCAGCCCATAGGCTGCCTGGAAACCAGGGAAGTGTCCTCTGCTCTCTGGCTCTGCTGTCTTGGTATCATGGGTGGGTCAGGTGTGGGGAAGGGAGTGGCACAAGGGCCCAGTTTGCAGGGTTTGTCAGGATAGCTGATCAACTACCATGAAAACCCCAGTTCTTGCAAAACTAGTCTTGGACTAAAGATAGCTCCTAACACTGAGAAATCAGTAAGGCTGCAGTATCTGCTCCACAGAGGCTGAGAGGCAGTATCTCCAGGATTCCTCTCCTGAGCTTTTCTCTTCCACCTGCTAACGCTGGAATACCAGCATGTGGTTAGCTACACAGTGATATAGGCATCTAATATACTGCTCTCCATATATGCGGACTTATCATAGAGTTGCACGTGTCCCATTTGCTCTGGGTCAACGGGTTTGGACAGAATAAGCTCTTTTTCTCTGCTCATTTTCTAATAGTGGTCTTGTTTGGGACAAAATGTTTTCATTGCAGTTACACGGCTTCAGCGAGACAATGCTGCTAGTAACAGTGATGTGCTCTTACTAAATTCATTCCTGCTTGCCCTGCCCAAAGGGTTAGCTCTTGAAAACATTAGGATATTCATGCACTCTAGTTTGTTTATGCAGCTGACATCGCTGAGTACTACCATTATTGGCGTGAGTACTCTAAGTGGTAGCTGCATTATCTGCCACAATCTTCAAATGTAACAAAAAAGACCTGGAGACAGAGATTTTTAATTAGAAAAACTGGGAGCATATGATAGCCATAGATTAAAACTAATATCCGCTATTCTATTTCAAATTTTCCTTGTGTTCAAACCCTCTGAGTGCTGCTGAGAGTCCATGACATCAGGGCTATTGCTTAGACTTAGGCTTGGCTTTTGTCAGATTGTCTCCTCCCTTCATGTGATTGCAGTGCATCAGTGGGGTACCCTCATTCTTTTTCTGTGTGGGAGGAGGCTAATGGCAGGATCCTTCTGAAAACTGTGCTTCTCTGCTATCTTCTCTGTGTATGCCCTGCAAGTCATACTTTCTTTCAATGCCTCCAGACACTTTCTGCAAAAGGAATATAAGCACCTATATGACTGATAGGCTGCTATATTTTTATAAGACATTTATTTAAACAAATTACATTATAATTTTAAAAATTATAATTTTAAGGAGCACTTCAGAAGTGAGTTTTCTGCTTTCCTTTTCCCCTCCCTTCCATTTTTCCTGCAGAATTCAAGCACCTTATTGTATTGCACTGGGCAGCAGATATTATGTCTGCCTGATTTATGTCAGCACTGTGCCGTTTTCTGCTCTCTTCTGACATCTGTGGGGAGAATGGTTTATGTAGCACAGTACTCCCAACAAGCTACTGTATTTCACTTCTTTCACAGGGGTATATGGTTCTGTGTTTGATGGTGGGACTGAAGCTGCAGAGGCCTGGGATGCCATTAGTTCCCATTATTAGCTTTTAGAGGAGCCCGCTCCATGATCTGAAGCCAGAACAATTTCTATGCATGCTTATTCGTGTGTGTGTGTGCAGGGGGCTGTAGCAAATAGCACTATCTGGGACAGCTGGTGATGCTCTAACCTATACAGATATATTCAACTTTGGAAAAGCCTTGACAGTATGTGTATCTTTGATCTGTCTTTCGCAGCATTTTTGCTTCTGAGTTGCTTTTGCATCAGCAACTGGTAACACAGGTCTGCCTGACTGTTGTAACTAGGTAGATAAGATCATTTAAAAATGAGTTGCACCTGTAACTGTTTTGTCAGCATAGGAGTTGGAAGGAGCCATTGTGTATTTTTTAGGTCTTTGCAGAAGCTGGGAATTCCTCTGTACTCATGTGAAAGCTCTTCCAGACAGAGCATACACTGTGAAGGTTGCAGATGATCTGGCCAGACAGTTTGGCACTTCCAGTGGTGATTACATTGCTCTACCATAACTCTGTATTCTGTTTAGAACTCCATGATGAATGATTTAACTGTATTAAATTTTAACTGTAATTAAATTAAAACAGATCTAGTCCTCAGATTTAACTGCATTTTAAAAATCCCCAAACAACCCAGAACAAAATAACAAAAGATTTTGTTTAGTCATAGCTTGTACAAAATGGGCTAGTGCATGTTGCATACTTGGCTGTTAATGACTGATTTCTTATGATCCTGACCTGTGGATTGTCCTTTGCACTAGGTATCACCTTGCACTACCTCACAATGTGCAAACGAAAGCAAAGTTGAGTCACAAGGAAGCACTTGGAATGTGCTGTCAGCCATGGGTTTTGCACAGAAAGGTGTGGGGAGGCATTTTGTTACAAGTGCATCCTTTTTGTAGTTAATGTTTCTGTGGACTGCATCCAATTGTTTACCATAACAGGCTTGCATTTCTTTTTCTTTAGCAACAGCAACAGTGGTGTTTCAAGTGACTTGTCTTCTCACCTTGTCTCTTTTCTGGTCCTCCTCCACTCTTGATGCCCACCCAAGGATTTTGTTAATGGAAAAACAGTACTCAGGCTCTGAAGTAACCCATAAACTTGCAGATGCTGTATGATAACCAGCATTTTTCAGCTGACATCCAGGAAAGGCTGAGAACCGATCTATCAGGTTGTGGTTTGTAATACACTAATATAGCCTGAAAATAGGATGGCCTATACATTTAAATTAAATGATTATTGAAATTATGATGCTAGTTGGTGTTCTTCTTAGAAAGTATAGAGACAACAAGGCCTTATGGCAGATAACACCTATTCTCCCTCCTCCCATTGGTTTTCCAAGGATCAGAAATTTTTGATTCATTTTACATTCTACACTGGAGTTTAATACCATATTCTTATCACAATGCAACATGTGGGCTTTCTTGCCCTGCACATACCTTTTCTTGATATGTCTGTAGTGCTTGCTTATCAGGAAGGTGGATAAGTGGGTGTGTAAAATACGAAGTATCGTAGTGTAAATTTTCTCAGTGTTGCTAGAAGTCAAAGTTGAGGTTTTTGCAAGCCCAGATTCTGAAAGCAGAGCTACAGCTTAAGTCAACATTTACATTTACTAACTGTGATTTTAAATGTCTTTTACACTCCTGATACATCTGGGTCAGAATCACCATGTTTATTTATACTTCAGCCAAACTCAAGTCATTAGTGCCCAACAAATATATATGGTGTTACTAATATCCAAAATATTATTGTAAATTAGAGATATCCAGTCACTATACTGCATGCAAATGTAATGATAACTGCTGATAACTCAGTGACACACAGAGACTCTCAATCCTCTGTCCTCTGTTATGCAGAGCACATAACTGATGCCTAGGAAAGAGAAGAACAGCACAAATGTAGGGTAATGGTACTTTCTTGACAGAGGTTCCCAGCTTCCAATGATTTGTAGCTCAGGTACTTTTGAACAGAGGTTTGGATCCCCTCATTAAATCATGACAGACTGTCTAGATGGAATCTGATCTCCAGCAAAGATGTGCTGCGTCAGGGAGAGGCCAGGCAACACACTGGAACTGCCAAAACTGCAATGGAGGTAAGCAGTATCTAGTCCTTAATCCTAGGGCTGTGGGGAAAAGTCAAGGGGAAACGTTTTTCAGATAAGCATTATCACTACCTCATTCTGGCTAAATCTGTAAAACCCTTATGGGATCCTTTTGCAAACAGAAGGTTTTGTTTCATCCAGTCTGGACACGCTACTGGGACATGATGGGAGGGCAGGCAAGGGACACAGTGGTGTTAATAGGTTCATATTGGAATAATATTCAAATAAATGTCTTTAAGGTTTTGAGAAGAGAGTGAAGACATGGAAATGGTATGCAGCACAGACTGGATTGCTTTTATTTCTGAAAGATGATTTTTTTCCAATCTGAGAGCTTGAAAAAGATATTGAAAAATCACCTAGCATTAGGATAGAGGTTTGGCTGACAAGAATAGTGATACTGGCTCTGAATGTGTCCATTCTAATGCCAATGATGCATGCAGTGAGGGCATTAGCGGTCGTGATTGTTATTCCAGTCATCTAGTGAAACCTGCACAGTGAATGTGGTAGCCAAGACTTTTGTAATGAAATTCTGGAAAAAAATATTGGCATTTTCTGAACCCAAGTGTAAACAGGAATCTCCCTCTTTGTGCTAGAGGTAGTGCTTCTCCCTTCACATCTCAATCCTCTCTTTGTGTTTCTTAGAATATTCTTATCCCCCAAATGGAGGCACAGAGGCTGTCTGATGATTCACAATATGTGATTTTTGTTCAGGCTAAATGGACATATATCAAAGGGGAAAACAAGTAGACAACTCCAACTTAATCATGAGTCTGACTAAACCACTTGGCTCTGTTTCTTCACATGATAGGTATCCCACACTTACCAGGGAAGTGCCAGCCCTGAAAGAACCACCAGGAGTGGAGGAAAGAGAGCTGCTTCTCCATACCTACCTGCTGTGTTCAGCAGCTCCTGTTATCCCACCAGTGTGTGTCTCACAGGGTGTCAGTGGGTGCCTTGCACAGTGGCTCCCAAACCTTTATTTGTCTCCT